GAGGCCTTGATGAGATTCAGATTGATGTGAATTAATGGAACACATTGAACTGAGATGCCTCAAGCAAAGTGCCATTCTCTCACTTTATTGCACAACCTATGTCTATCACACCCGAGATGCTTATAAAGGCTGTTTCGTTGGTCAAGACAGACTGGTGGCTCAGCATTCTTAGTTTCTTATTGTGCGAAAATGAGTGTTATATTGTGAAACCATCAAGACCTGTAGTGTTCTGCTAACTTAATTTCTGTAACACTGAAACTACTGTGACAGCAGAGCAAAACGTGTGCATAAATCCTGTGAAAAATTATGGCAATCAAGGAAGAGAGAGAAATAAGAAAAGTTACAGCCAGGGGCAAACAAGTCAGGCGTCAATAGGAGATGCCATCTGCATCTGTTTTCTTTCCCTAAATTGGATTTACTGTCACATTTCCTGGAATAAACACACGATAGGCTTAGGTTTCTGGGTTGTGAAAGGTATTTGCCATTATAATTAAAAGGTTAGCTTATCCATAACATTATTTTTTTTTTCTGTGGAACATAAAAAGAGAAGCATAGCAGAATGTCCTGTTTTTTCTTTTTTTTGTACAATGAAAGTGGATGGGGACCAAGCAATGTCAGGCTCCAAAACAAGCAAAAAAGCAACATAAGTAATTTATGTGGTGCATATGACTAGTATGCTATGTTTCAAGCCATTTGATAAATTTATGTGAGAAACATACTGACATTTAAGTTCTTATTCACTGAAAATACTCACTGTATTGCACAACCTATGTCTATCACACCCGAGATGCTTATAAAGGCTGTTTCGTTGGTCAAGACAGACTGGTGGCTCAGCATTCTTAGCCAGACGAGGTGTTGCACATCTAGGAAGCACAGAATAGACAATTGAAATCGAAAGTTTAAACCTCAGCTGTTTCCTCTAGTTCGACATAATTGTTTTATGACAGCAGCCACTAGGCCTTATGCTTTTCAAAACACTCTTGTCGTAATAGCATGTCAAAATTAAATCCGTGTAGAGTGTTTTTTGAATATTGTGCGAAAATGAGTGTTATATTGTGAAACCATCAAGACCTGTAGTGTTCTGCTAACTTAATTTCTGTAACACTGAAACTACTGTGACAGCAGAGCAAAACGTGTGCATAAATCCTGTGAAAAATTATGGCAATCAAGGAAGAGAGAGAAATAAGAAAATTTACAGCCAGGGGCAAACAAGTCAGGCGTCAATAGGAGATGCCATCTGCATCTGTTTTCTTTCCCTAAATTGGATTTACTGTCACATTTCCTGGAATAAACACACAATAGGCTTAGGTTTCTGGGTTGTGAAAGGTATTTGCCATTATAATTAAAAGGTTAGCTTATCCATAACATTATTTTTTTTTTCTGTGGAACATAAAAAGAGAAGCATAGCAGAATGTCCTGTTTTTTCTTTTTTTTGTACAATGAAAGTGGATGGGGACCAAGCAATGTCAGGCTCCAAAACAAGCAAAAAAGCAACATAAGTAATTTATGTGGTGCATATGACTAGTATGCTATGTTTCAAGCCATTTGATAAATTTATGTGAGAAACATACTGACATTTAAGTTCTTATTCACTGAAAATATCATGGTCATCATTCACTTTCATTGTATGAGCAATTGTAAGAGCAACTTAAGATGCTCTTCTATTAATAACTCCTTTCGTATTCCACAGAAGGAAGAAAGTCATACTGATTTCGAAACCCATGATGTTAAGTAAATGATGACATTTCTTTTTTGTGTCAATTATTCCTATAGCAAACTGCTATGTTTATAATATCACATGATGAAATAGTCTGTTTATGCTGTAATTCAGATAATGCGAAAGGTTCATGCATTTGTTGGTTGGGAGTTGGGAGTTAAAATAGAGATTCTATGTTTGGAGGAAGTGTGCGTTCAGATGGAACTCAAAAATAGACCAAAATACACCATTAGGTGCCCAAATCCTGAGAAAGCTTGCTAAAATCATGTTGGTGATGTGAACTTTTTGTAATTTATAGCTTGTGTTGGATTGGCCTTTTACATTCACTGTTGATCTATAGCTGTTATAATTAAGTACATCATGCAAGCAACTTTTTCACACTTTGCTGTGTTGTGCACAAAATTGCCTACCCACCAAAAGTAGGCCAGAAGAAGACCACTAACTGCTGCTTAGACTGTTTCAGAGTCAAAATCACAGTTATTATTATTATCACATAACCAGCTGTGCGCAAGACTGCAGCCTTATTGGATGCACATATTTGATCATATAATTACTCTATTCTGAGGAGGTGGCAGCCGCTTATTAGCAAATACAACGCCACCAACTGTGATCTGAGACTGGCGTCCCCTGGTCAAGGATGTGGCCGGGATGTCTATGTCTTTGTTTCTCTCATTCAAACTTTACCCTTGAGGCCAAGGCGATGTCTGTGATTGCTTGAAGCGGGAACCTCAGAAGGCGGCGAGCGAGTTCACAGTAATTGATTGTTCTGTAGGTCTGAGCTCTGCGTCGTAAACATAAGCCCCGCTGTGATAAAAAACCCAGCTGGAGACAATGCATTCAATAAGGCTCAATGCTTGGGCCCAAACGCTCCATTTCTATGGCAACTGGCTTGTCACTGCTGTTGATACCCTGAGATAAACTGACAGTCACTTGTCTCCAAGCTAACTGTCGCTACGTGTCTGTTGGTGTTTGGTGTCCATGTGTAGCTGCACAGCTGCAAATAAGAGTCTAGAAAAGTTTCCATGGAAACTAGGGCGCCGTGTAGTCTTGGGAAGTGGTCTGTATGCTCATAGGCAATCGATCCAAAGTCTTAAAAATGTCCCTGGAAAATACTTTTGGGAAACGTTTTGTTGGAAATGTGGCCTGGCGGGTTGTGCACGTACTTTGACACGTTTTCCAGTGTCGCTTAAGCGGGCGACCCAAGTTAGAGTCATTTCCCAATGCCACCCACCCCTCTCTCACTGTCATTTCCTGTCTCCTCTCTGACTGTCCATCTCTTTATTTTTAGCCTTTTTGTCATTTTAAAATCCTGTATAGACTCAAAAACACCTCTGGGTTTTTATTTATAGTACAGTAGGGGTAGTGCTAACTAGTTGACAGCTTAACTGTAACGGCCAAAAATACCCAAAATTAGTTTCTGCTAAATTCAGAATTAAAGAATTGCCTCTCTTGCAATTAATTAGTTTGAAACAGAAATGTCTGAATTGCAATTGTTAAACTTCGATTGTTAACAATTGTTAAAATTGGTAAATCTATCTATCTATCTATCTATCTATCTATCATTCTATCGTTCTATCTATCTATCGTTCTATCATTCTATCTATCTATCGTTCTATCTATCTATCTATCTATCTATCTATCATTCTATCGTTCTATCTATCTATCGTTCTATCATTCTATCTATCTATCGTTCTATCTATCTATCTATCTATCTATCTATCATTCTATCGTTCTATCTATCTATCGTTCTATCATTCTATCTATCTATCGTTCTATCTATCTATCTATCTATCTATCTATCATTCTAGTTCTTGATCTAACTGTCTATCTATCTCTACAATTGATTTTCTACTTCTAAAAAATGTTCTACCTAAAAAATTTGAATTTCATAGAAAAATGAATTTCACTTAATTTTTACTTGTACTCAAATTTGAATTGCAATTTTGCATTTTGTTTGATGCCTCGCTTCAAATTCAGTAATTGAGTTGGTGCACAGCCCTGGTTCTCAAACAGGTCTTCTGTTTTCTGTGAACAGGAAGAGCAAAACAGAGGAAAGCCCAACTGGGAACACCTGAACGAAGACCTGCATGTCCTCATCACTGTGGAAGACTCTCAGAACCGTGCTGAGATCAAACTCAAGAGAGCCGTCGAGGAGGTCAAGAAACTGCTAATCCCTGCGGTGAGTGATTTGTTTCTCTGTTCTTCAGACCTTATATATAGTTTATTGAGACAAGGTTTTAAAAAAATGTGTTGAGTGGCAAAATCACATCGATTCGCCTCAACAAACAAGACTCATGGAAATGCTGCTTAGGCACTGATAAATGTATTTACTCTAAGGAGAACATGCTTAATCGAAAGAGCTGCTCTCAGCAGGTCTTCTGTTTCCCCGCTAGTCGCTCTGCATCCACAGACAGGTAGATGTGAGCAGGAAGCAGAGAACAGGGTTGCTTTCCTCCATGAGAATAAGTTTGGAGCCACTGAGCACACATGATTCCAGATGTGCAAAGGTGAGCACCGTGGGCAGTTTTTAATAGGCTTAATTACCTTATAAATTAATGAGGAGCACAGGACTGAAGGGTCAAAAGAACCCCACATGGAACCAACGGAAGTCTCGGCATTGCTTTGGGATGCAGAGCTGAATGCCAATTAACCTTTGGGTCTAAAGGAAGTGACAGCAGGTTAGGAGGAAGTGCCATTAGAAGCCTAGTGAGATTTGAGAGAAATTCTCTTTTTCTGTAGTGTTTTCTACAATGTTTTTTTTTTTTTTTTTTTCCCATTATAATATACCTATGAAGGCAGACATAGAAATTTAGCAATATTCTTGCATCAGAGTTATCTAATCTAGGCAGAATACTGTAAAATGTCGAGAAGAACAATTCACTTTTTTAGGGTTTTTAGGATTTTAAACTAAAATGTCATATTTAAAAGTTAAAAAAGGATTGAATTCAAAATTGGACTTATTTGTTAATATGGTTTCCTTGTCCTGATTTAGCTTTTTCGCATGACATCACCAAGCCTTCTTATCTTTATCTTTTTTTTTATTTCTTTTTTTTTTAATCCATCATGTAAAGACATAATTCAGTCAATTACTGTTGGATAAAATATAGTCCAGCCCTACATTTTTTTATTCTTGTTGAATACCAGTAAAATGAGTTGCATACTACTTTTTCTTATTTATTGTCCCATTTCGCTCAGAAATATGTGACATTACAGATATAAAATAGGTTGTGAATCAGTGTAGTTATTGTTAACTAAAGCTAAAACTGCTACTAAAACAGTAATTAAAGCTGAAATAAAATATAAATATTGGATGGAAATACTAAAATGTAAAAAAAAAATTTAAATGTTGCCTTGGCAACTACAGTAAATAAGTTGAAGTTGAAGTGCTAAAATTTAAAGAAAATTTTAAATATAGAAATATTCAAAAAACAAATTATAAAAACATAAAAAGTTGCTTAAATTTAAATTAATTAAAATGAAAATGGAAAATAAAAAAGCTAATTAAAAATATTCATATGCTGTAATAGTATCTAAATATATATGCTCAAGTAACACTGTTGCGAAAGCTGCTTTGTGTGCAATGAAGAAAAATACTTTCTTGATTCTGTGGTATTTCTTATTGTGAACAACCGTTATTTAACATAGAAAGCAGAATAGAATTAGTAGCGAATGGAATTCGGGAAATTTGTGTAAATGTGGATTGTAATCCCTTCTCCTCTGTCAAAGAGAGAGGGCTTCTGGACGCCCTGTGGCGCTACCATGGTAACCCTCTTGGGGATGCACTGATCCTTGATTGACAGTTGTGCCCTTTCTCTGCTATGGAATTCTGAATGGGGAATAAGCTCTTTAGAAAGTTTAGCGCTGTTTACTCCAGGAAGCTCCCGTCTTGAAGATAAACCCACTGCGATTGTGTTTGTCTTCATCAAACCATCCAGGGGAAGAGTATTCAGCTTTTTTTCTTTGTCATTGCCTACTTGTTCAAAGGTCTGAGAAATAACTTTTTGTAATAGAATGGTGTCCGAAGAAATTGTTTTGACATTTATTTTGAATTCAGATCTATTCTAATCAATGTCATGCTCTGTGATGCCACTGAAGACTCTTTCTTCTTGATTGTCATTTTATAAACATTTTGAACATTTCACCGCCAGTGTAGAAAAACATTCTTCTGGTGTTTGTTTTCGAGCTCAATGCCCTTAATATTCGGAAGACATCTCTTCCCCTCAGAGACTAGAATCTGTAGTCTTTCTAACATGGTTTCTTTCCTAAAATGAATGGTGACTAAACTAAAGCTTTGGCATCTAGCATATATATTTTTTCAGTTTACTTTTTTTATTAGATCCATTCATCTTGTTTTGCCAGTTTATGAAAAGATCATTTATAGCACATAGTTTTAAACAGGTTTGAGCTTTTCCACCACTTTTTCCCACTGCTTTTCCTCCTAAAAGCTAATGGGAGAGAAGTGGATTTCACTAGAATAATTCACATTTTTAAGCTGTTGTTGTCAAATTCAACTCATCCTTCATCGAAAGTTTAAATGGAATATTTTTAAATATATTTTCCGTAACACACAGTCTTACTAGTGGTTGATATTCACTAGCTTCGGGCATTTGGCTGGCAGCTCTCAGCAAAGTAAGCAGAGAGAAGAGTGGTGTACACACACACATACACACACTGATCCTCGTTTGAAAAGCCCCGCTTTTCTTTCGCTTCTCTGCTTGCTGACATAGTTCAGATTATTCTGTGGACTGTCTGCCGTGCCCCTCCCTGACCTGCTCTGAACTCAGACTTTACAGTCTGGGAGCTTGACAAAAATCCAAACTTAGTTGCTGATGTTTTGGACTTGAATTTTTATACTGTTGCTGTTAGCTGAGTGCATTTACAGCTGTTTTACATGTCACAGATTATTTAGATTAGTGTTTGTCAAACTTTCTGACTCTAAGGCCTCCTGTTGTTCACAATAATATTCAAAGGCTTCATTACTTTTCCAATTGTTCATGATTTTACTGGATAATAATTTAAAAAAATAGCAACAGCAACACTTTTACTCAAAATTACTATCTGGTAATATTTAAAGAGCTTGTCATAACTGAAATAATTGTAAATGAATTTAAAATATATATTTATATTTTAAAAATATATTTTTTATATATTTGTTAAGATTTTTACAGTTTTCCAGGTCTAGAAGTCATGCTTTTAAAATTAGGCTTCCTCATAGGTATATCCCGGTTTTTCAAGACTTGGGGAATCCTGGATCTTTGGGGATAAAAGAAAAAATGAAACCGATCAAACAGTTGTTGAGGGGGTGAAAATAAGAAATATTGATTGTTAGTAGTTCTGGATTATTTAAATTCTCGCCGTGTTTGTCTTTAAATAGTTTTAAGTCATCTTGAGGCCCCTTGGAAGTTTGCTGAGGCCCTCTAGAATTCACACTGTGTGATTGTCACTCGCGTGAACGAGCACCGATTTGCCTCCGATGTCGGGCATTTGTCGGCGATTTCGCAAAACCTGTCGGCGAGTGAAAAATCGGGCTAAAATCGTGCAGTGTGAACTCGGCATTAGTTAAGAGCCACCAGTTTATATGAACCACTTCATCACAAATTGACAAAAACTATGTCCACTTCAGGGGAAGTGAACTGTATAAGGGGGAAACGGCTGGTAGAATGAGCCGTTGCAAAAACGAGGCGTTGATCTCAGCACCCGCTGTTGAGTAATGCAATCTGTTTCTTTAGCCTCCCGCTCTTTGGGCCTGGCTTGTTTTAACAGTGGCAGAGTGAATCATCTGCTAGCTGTTAGCAAGTGTGAAACATTAGCTTCCCTGCACCACTGCACTGCCTCCTTCTCAAACATTTTAGCAGAAAATGTAAAGCAAATGAAAAGTTGAGCTTTTTAAGCTAATAAGTGTTAAATTATCTTTTTTTCCTGTGTGTGTACAGGCCGAAGGTGAAGACAGCTTGAAAAAGATGCAGCTGATGGAGCTGGCCATTCTCAACGGCACTTACAGAGACGCCAATGTCAAGTCACGTAAGAATGACATCATCAAACATCGACCTGTGTTTATCGGTGCATTACCTCTTCCCCTTAAATATCCATCTCTTTATATAAAACTCATTTCTTTTCAAAGTTTTATTTGGCTTTTAAACACAACTCACCTCTTTTGGGATTTTTAGCTTTATGTTTATAGTGCTTGGAAGAAATTGCAGCGATATGTTGATATTCGTCAAACATTCTGGTTAGAGATTTGTTCAAAACCAGGCTTGTTAAACCTGATTAGTTATAAACCAGTTTTCTTCAGTTAATTCAACCCAAGCAATTTAACATACATCTTACACACAGTCTTTTTTGTAGATAATTTCAGTTTTAGGTATGCTGTCTATTTTTGGTTTTTGTGAGCTTTATCAAAAGTATGTTTGAATATTGATTATAATAGAAACTTAAATATTTATTTTGTGGCCATGCAAGCACTATCCATGTGCACACGTCTTGTTTATTTTTGTGTGAAAATATTTGCATAGACCGCTAGTTTTTGAAATGTAGGTAGATTGATTAGCCCCTCAATTTCTCTTCCCCTCACATCTTTGTGTATTTGCTCTTGTGCGTCTTGTTCTTTTTAGCAGCCTTAGCCTTCTCCTTCGCCACCACAGCACAAGCTCCCCGCATTATCACCGGCCCCTCCCAGGTGATGCCTCCTACGGCACTGCGTACCCCTGCATCCGCCGCACCCACCCTCATGCCACTCATCCGACAGATCCAGACCTCTGCCTTCATGCCCACAGGCACACCCCACCACGCCGCGACCCTCTTACCCCAGACCCCCGAGTCAGGCATCATCTATGCACCCTACGATTACCCCTACACCCTCGCCCCAACCTCCATTCTTGAATATCCTATTGACTCAAGTGGTGTTTTAGGTAAGAGTTTTGATTATTTGGTTGTCTTTAAAGGTGTTTTGTACAGATTATGCATTTAACACGATTTGCAGATAGGGTTGGGCAGTATGATATACCTGGTATATTTAATTTAAATTATTATTATTTTATATAATAAATTATTATTATTATTTCTTTTTAATTAATGTTAATATATTCCTTTTCTTCTATATTATATAAAAATATAATATTAAAATTAATGTATGTGTGTGTTCTATTTTTTATATTATATTTATTATAATATTAGATATATTTATTCAAAATTATATATCTATTGCTACAAATATACCCCAGCGACTTAAGACTGGTTTTGTGGTCCAGGGTCACATATAGTAAAAAATATTTGTTTTTATTATTATTTAAATGTATTATATTGTAAAAAAAAATATATATTTTATTTGTTATAATATTACATATTTTATTTTATGTTTATCTTTATGTATATATACCGCTCATATACCGCTCTTTTGCTCAGAAACCCAGTAGACTAACTCCAGCATTCTGTCTTGTCCTTGTAGGTATGGCTTTCCCGACAAAAGGCTAGTAATGCTCAGGGGTTTAACACAGTCCTCAGCCCATACGAGTGTTAAAAATGCTTTGCTTTACAGCTGCCTTGGAACAAAAAAAGTCAAAAGAGCAAACGAAGAAACTGATTTTTATAAGAAACAAAAGACTAAAGATAATTACTACTCATGTTTACACTGGTCTTAACTGTTTTGTTGACTTATTCACAGATTAAAAATTGATATTTTCAGATAAATACTGATAATTAAGCCTTATTACATTCCTCTGTTTGAAAAGTAATCTATATTTGTTTAGCTTGTAATATTTGTATTACTTATTTTCCTGCAACTGTATCTTAGATATTTAGAGAGTGATCAGTATTATTGCTAATATAACATGCTTGTGAAAATCTTTCTCCATGAAATAGCCTGTAATGAATTCATATTATCTGAAGCATCTTGTGTGGTGAGAGGAATACAGGGACTCTATAGTCTTTGTATAAATTAGTCAGTGTAAAAAAAAAAAGGTGCCATTTGTGGTTTTATAGAAATGCGACAGATTAACTGGGAAATTGAGAAAGGGCCAACCGCATATGATGTGATTTCACTATAATGGGGCCCCTGGAGAAAAGGTCACTTGTGCCTTGTAATTTGGTCTTACAAGCCTTGTTTGTGAAACAATGTTGTGTGAAGTGTAGTTTTAATGTATTTTGATGAATAATCTGTTAATTCTTGTTTTGTTGGCAATGTTGCGCTCTGAGCAGGTGCAGTGACTACTAAAATACGAAGGCAGGATATGCGCGTCCATCCTTACCAAAGGGTAGTGACCGCAGAACGAGGTTAGTTTAGCTCCAGTGTTCAAACTCTGCTCTGTGTGTGTGTGTACTTCTTCAGTATGCTGATTACACTGTCTTTTCATTGCATCTCACTCAATACAAAGAGAGGAAATGTTTTAGTCACTTCTAACCTGCCAAACAAAAAGCATCGTTTAAGATTTCAGTGTTGCTGTTATCAGGTATAGTACGTGCCAGTCATACTGTGCAGGGTTCATTTACTCACTAAACCTGCCAACCTAGTAATGCATTGAAACTGTAGGTGTTATCAGCTTACTTGTATTATATTTTGAGAATGCTCTTGGGGTCACTGAAGCAAAGGTTTAAAAAATAGAATACTGTTAAAAAAGGAATTTCTGACTGATTTACAGTAGGTTAAAACATCCTGTGATGGCTTATGACAACATTACAAACTCTGAGATTTAAGCTTTGTTCTTTGTTCATCTAGTGAGTTGCCTTCTAAGACAGCATCCTAACTGCCATGGAACCTTATTAATGTACACTCTACATAACCAACACAGAACGTAAATGGCGCTCCGAACAGGAGACTCAACTTAATTTCCAGTTTGAGGTTAGCATGTTGCTAAGCTAATAAGCATGAAGATACATAGAACACACAAATACTGGATAAAGTGTACTTTTTAAATGTGCCTCTATAGGCAGCTCACCAGGTTTTGGAACAGACTATTAGTATGATCTGATAACTTCAGCACTTACATGCGTTGTATATTGAGACAAACATGACCTGAAGCTTAGTGGATGTATGTAGATGAAAAACAGCTAGTGTGATAGTGTTAGAACCACTTTGGAGAACCTTTATGAAGCAAAATTGACTGTCCACTGTGCTCCATTACACTGATGACGTTGTGATGGCCTTCAGGCTCATAGTCAATGAAGGGTAATGGAGCTCACCTGTTTGTTTGCTTCTGTTTATTCCTTCATTTGTCATTCCTTTGATACCCTTTCTCAGTTTTAGTGTGTTTTCAGATAATTTTATGTCGCTTAAGTACATTAGTATCCCATATAAATCTACTTTCCCATTCTGATCCATTGAAACATTGTTTCGGCAGCTTTCAAAGAAACAGTTTTGAGTTTTTGCTTTCTGAATAATGGAACAGTTTTACAAGACTTAGGGTTTGGGGGAAGATATGATTTTTTTTTTTAAGTCTCATCTGATATAATAAAACAAACTTATTTATGGTTCAACCTGTCTAGACCAGCATAAATAAAGTTTAGAAGATGGGTGCAATGCTGGTTTTCCCCAATTTATGATACAGATGAATACTTAATCATATTGAGAAAATGCAATACTGTATATTATTTCAGGCCTGTTATAAGCTGTATTACAGAAGATACTTCAATTCTGATTTTTCTTTCAAAATTCATTCTTGAGTGCTTGTACTGTTTGCAATCTTTTCTCATGTTACATATTTTATTTATACCTTTTTACTGCAGTTTTTATCTATAGATCAGTTGATAGTTATCGTTTAGGTTAAAAGTAATGATTTGGCCAGGGTCATTGAGCATATTCATGACAAAATCTTTCAAATGCCTTAAATGGATCTAAGGGAATTACAGCACCAGCTTCTAAAGTCCGCTGTAATGCAACTGATTTAAACTCATATTACAAATACGTAGATGTGCCAAAACTGTACATATTTAATAACTATGACTCCTGAAAAAAACTGTAAACGTGAGAATCTACTGATCAATATAAGTGAATTTCACACCCATAAGACTTTAACATGTCATAATTTAATAGACCAACACAACTGACCAGTTTAATGCATAACAATTGTGAAATTGCACAAAAAGTCGAATCTATCTTGTCTGGCTTACTGACCACAGCCACCGAAAGATTTCTGAGAATTTGTAAAAGATTCCTGAGCAAGGGAAAATGCCCTTGAATGAAAGGCATTGAATGAAATATTCCAAGCACCCGACTTGGACAGTGTCACATTAGATAGACTAGACGGTTATGAAGGTTAGGACTTGTTTGAGAGTGTAAGTCATCATATGCACTGCCCATTAAAAATAGTTACTTATGCTCGGTGCATAATCAGAGCATTATAAAGATGTTTCGGAGTGCTTATGATCCCTTAAACTCCCTATTCAAGAAATTCCTCATCATAAAAATATGGCACAAGTATTTTGCACTGAAGATTTTAAATCACCAGCTCCTAGTCTGCGATACTCAGACAGAGCAAAGTGAAACAAGAAAAAAACGAAACGGCAAAACCTCATGAGATGTTAGGATGTTTATCAAAGCAGGACGGTCACACACTGTGGCCGCCTGTTAGCACAAGAACAACAGATGAACTGAAGAAATATTCCATTTTTGGTTTGTTTGTTTCTTGTTTGTTGTTTTGCAGTAAGCTTCTTTTGAATTTTTTTGTCAAATGTATGGAAAAGAACATAGTTATTGTGTGTTATCTTTTTAAGATGAGTTTATGAAAGCAATATGTTTAACTATAAAGCAAGAACATTTATGAAATTCTATTGTATTTGTAAATGAATAGGGAATTTATACTAGTAAACATGTTAGCTTTAGAGAACAATGCCATGTTATTTTTCCAGAGGGGGTACACTTTTTTTTTTTTAGGATGTCGTACCAATGACAGTCTTGATACACTGTCTTATAAGTTACAGTCTTGAGAAACAAGTAGATTTGTCTTTCTAATTGTTTTCTTGTGTTTCTAGTGTTATTTTAGCCCTACATTTCAGCCAATATGCTTTAGTGTCATTCTGTTGGATTAGCATTCTGTATTTTTTGTAAATAGTCAAATTTTAAAGGCAATAAAATTTGAGTTAAAAAAGCACCAAACGTTTTGTACTGTCTAGAAATCATTTGATTTAGCCTGTCACTCTCTGATTTTACTTCTCTCGTCACATCTCTGTAACTACTCATGAATCCATATCATTATCACTAGCAGCTTTGTGGCTTTGTATTGAAGCAGCACTCTAATGCTTAATAGCAGTCAGAGGATCGTTCCTCGAAATATTTGCATCTTTTAATCCAGGATTGATGCCCTTTTACGTCTTGCTGTCAGTTTTTCCAAATACCCAAACTCTATTGACTGCTACTAACTATTAAGTGCTGTTAGTTTAATTCATAATGACTCTATAATTGATTTGCCTTTTGCTTCTTTAACCATTTTCACCTGGGAGATGGGTTCTGGAGTGAAATCATGAGGCCTTCATGATTTTGCTGTGTTAACGTAGATGTTGAGCAGTTTTCTCTTACAGTAGCTGTAATTAGTAATGTCATATTGTCATCCAACCGTCACTAGCTGAAACTAATCTCCTTCTCTATCTTTTTTCTTTTGTGTCCTCTATGTCCTTTTATTTTTTTCGTTTCCCCTCTGTCTGTCCATTTTTTATTTTTTTTCTCTAACAACCCAGCAACTAACCAATGACCCTCTGAACTCTTCACCCAATGATGACCTGACCATTGCCTGCCTGCTGACCAGTTCTCTGGCTCTCGTCCTTCGCTTCTATGTTTTGGCGGCCTGCTGGTGAGCCCAGAAGCAGCTTTAATTCGCTTAACACTGCCGAGAAGCCGTGATGGCCCCACGCCACCACCTGCAGAACAGAATCGCTCCCCTTCTCAAACTGAGGACCTCCTTGGTCAGGTGACCTGGGCTTCCCAGCCTGCACTGAAGTGTCATAAAGCAATAACACTGTCGGGGCGACACCTAAAATCCTACTTTTAGCCTTTCACATGCACACACTAAATAAACACAATTCTTTATTGGTTTCTAAAAATTAAGCATAATGTTCTATATAACTCTCCAAGTTTGTGCACTGCAGTTCTCGTACCAACCTGAAGAGTTTGAAAAAAAAAAACAGCAGTTTATTTTAAAACTGATTTATAGGTCCAAATATCCATAAGGGATGTAAAAGCAATGCTTGCCTACCAGCGTTTTCTTCAGAGAGCTGTCGAAAAGCATCCAGACACATGAGCAAGTGTACAAACACTGATCGTCAATTAATACCTTTTTTGATATGAGGGTGCTGCACAGGAAATGAATATATATTTTTCAAAGGTGATCCTTTTTGTATTAAAAAACAAAGCAGTATTGTCAAAATGTGATGAACAAACAACGTTTATTTCCTTATGACAAAATTTTAGAGACCAAAATGGTGTCTTTTTTTTATAAAAAAACAAACAGACAAGTGCCTTATTTTACACAATATCATCAATTATGAACAAGTATGAATGTCCATCTATGTGTTATATGCCAACATATCAGGTATTTCTGTTCAATTCCTCTTTATTAATGAAAACAAGAGGTGCACAGAACAATGTTGCAGGCATTACACTCAAAAACGACATTTTATAATTTTTCCTTACAAATAATAATTTTTACCCTGTCACACTACATTAGTTACTTCTTGAGCCATTTATGCTCACAATCCGTTTGTATTTGATAATGTATGTGTACGAGCTCCCTAATATGTTTATAGATCCATCACTACATCTGTTACACAGCAATGAAGCCCCATCAATATAAAACTTACTGGTCACTATTCCCATATTTTTCACTCCGCTTATATCTCAAGGAGCATTTATTCATTTCATCAGGATGAATAGTATAAAGGTTCGGGGTTAATAAGTACAGAACTCATTTTATTCCTTTTGAGGAACTGAAGTGTGCTAGAGGAGCATGTTTGTATGCAGACATGTCACATTTATTCATACCTTGCTATGCAAATGATTTTCAGTTTTATTAAAATGACTGAATAAATTTCCTTCAGTTGGTCTTCCAGTTAAAATGTCAGAGTATTTCAGTGCTGAAGAACAACAAAACTAAAAGCGTATTAACAAATTATAAGTACATTTTGTTATTTGGTTACCATAACTGGATTTTGAGAAGATACATCTCCTTTTCTAATAACATTGGTTGTATTTATGCAGAGCACATGCAATACTTTTTAGACGTTTGAGGTTGTGATGCAGTTGCATGTAATTTTATTTTTTATTATTAACCTGGAAATTGCTAAAGGAAAAATCCTGCAAATACATTTAATGAATGGAAATTGTTTTTACACGGATCTCTCACCCTGTCAGATCTTGGAACTGGAGTTGTTTGTTAATGTGTGTTTGGGGTTTTTTTTTGGTTTAGTGTTTGCTTTCCATGCAGTATTACTATAGACTGTGTCAATATGTGTGTGAGCGTGTGTTTTATGGGTGATTGTGTGAGTGAGTGTTTATGTATTGTATATGCCAATGAACTGCAACTCTCCATTTAAGCTTATTTTTATTGTCAATGTTTTTTTGTTTTTTTTTTGCAAACCCAAGCAGCTTCCTGCATTGGAAAATATACAGTCCTATTTATAACCATTGTAACATTTTATAATGTATTTTTCTATCATATTTTGTATGTGAGAAATAACATTAAATCACATTTCCAGATATGAACAGTATGCCTTATTACAAAAAATTTATATGAGAGACATATTTTTCTCATGATTAAATAATTGCATAGGTGATGGAAAATGGAAAAACTTATTTGATTAACAATATCATTTGGTTCAAGACTCACTCTGAGCAAGTTTTAAAGTGGGTATTATTTGCTGGGGTGTTTAGTTCATCATTGTTGCTTTGCCTCTGTGCCTTCTTATGTAAATTGTAAGCTATTAACCATTTCTAGTTATATAATTGATTAATTGTTTCTTGCCGATTGTACTAACATTTGATGATTTCTATTCATTAACCCCATCAATAATTTCTTTTGTCTGCTTTGAATCTATAGAACAGGATTTGTGTGAAATTAAGCAAAAGAGTGTTTTACTGACTGAAATATGCTGGACTAAACTGTACTGAGAAGCAATAGCGAAATATTAAAATCATAGTTTAAAAAAAAAAAGAAACTAACTTGGTCGCTCTTTCTCTTGTGCTTTTTACGTGTGCCAGAACACTCTGCCTACTAATCTGATTCAGGTCTGCTGTTGATAATGGAGAAGATCTGGGTCCAAACTTTTCTGTACTGTTTAATTGATAATACTGAACAAAAGCTGCATTTAACACAAAAGTGACAAGATGATTATGGGGTGGAAAAAAGCTGAAGCTGCATATAAATGGTACGGTTGTTTGAGTTGGACGAACACCCACCTCTATTTCACACAGTCTTATTATTCTTTCTTTCTCAACATCTCTGTGTGCTTGTTTTTGTATCGTAGCCATCTGTTGAGCTGTTTTGGAAAGTTCTAAGAGTCGACAAGAAAAGTGTAACCGCAGATTACACCGGTAATTGACTTTCAAAGAAATCCATTGAAACCGATGCAAGTGAAACTTTCCAGATTCTCTGAAATATGTAAGAAAATAAAAGAAGCAAACATTGACTTTTGTAAAAAAAAAAAAGTCCAATAATGCTAACTAACTGAAATATGTTTTTAAGAAAGAGTTTGGTGAACCTCATTTTATTTTATCCAGTTGTTTGAATCAATCTGTTTGTATGGAAAAATGGATTTTTTAAAAAAAAAAAAAAAAAAAAAAAAAAAAGTCCAATAATGCTAACTAACTGAAATATTTTTCAGCTATGTACATCAGCACTGCCTAACTATAGTAACGAACATCAGGCTTATGAAATGTAAGGTTCAAATCACTTCCTCATTTGAGCATTGAATATCCTCAGAGAAATCACAGAGGGTCAAGATAGCGATTTCTGTTTGTCAGTGGTGCAGCGTTGAGAGGAACTGGAATCGCGAAGGAAACCGATAACTCTGAATAACCTTCTGAAAACCGTTTTTCAGTTTTCTAAATGTTTTCTAAACACATCGTTTTAATGAGTTGCTGTTGTGTGTAATGGTCTGTGTTTAGCTGATAAAGCTAATCAGACTCTTTTAGTTCCCATAAGACCTCATCACTGCACCCAAGAGTCCTAGTTACTTTTGTTTCCTTTTCAGTTTATAGCAAAGTCGCCAACCATAGCCTGCATTAAACAAATCTGGTCATATCCAAAAGAACAGCAACAGAACTGAATCTGTGACCGTCACAGTCTGTGACAACAAAGATTGTGTTTTAAGAGAATAGTTCATGCAATATGAATATAATATTTATTTATTATCCTTTATTTGACCGTCTAACTCTAGCACTTTCTTATTCTATTTTAATTCTACTTTATCTATATTTATCTTCTTTTTTATTTTTTTATTTAAAAAAAACAAAACAAAAAAAAAACAAACAAACACTAGCTTTCTATTTTTTCTATTCTATCTACTTGTTTTTCTTTGTGCGTGTGTGTGTATATGTATGTGTGTGTGTGTATAATATATATATGTATGTGTGTAT